ACACATAACACACACAACACACACACAACACACACACATAACACACACACACACACACACACACACACACACACACACACACACACACTCATACCGCCATGCTTCTTCGTGCAAAGTGCATCTAAAATGAAATCAAAGGACACAGAGATGAGAGAAGCTGCACTTTTCACTCTTTTTTTTATGTCTTTTCTTCAAGCTTTTATCAGCAGCACAGAACCGCCTTGGAGTCACTTTAAATCTGCTGATGTGTATTAGTACTAGAACACTTTGATAAATTGTCACAAAACTCTCCTCGCCCTTCTCCTGTACGGAAAAAGATTTAGTGCGCCTCACACCTATTTGGTATCCACTGACCAAGCTGTCATCGGAGCTGGGCCGTGGCAGATTTCCTTATTATTTTTAGGAAGGTTTTCTTGAGAAGTGAGCCTGAGAATGAAATCAATAAGAGCCAGAGAGACGGGGGTGGAGGGTAAGAAAGCGCGAGAGAGAATAACATAAACCAGATGTCCAAAATCCAATTGTAGAGTTGTCAAATTTCACATTACCTCATTGACTTGGACACACACGGGGGAAAACAGCCGCGTGTGTGTAAAATGACTTTTTGTTCTGAGATGATTCTATATTTAACAGTTATGAGATGGCTGATGCTGTGCTAGTAACTAATAGTGACGTCAGTGCTGGGAGACGCTGCCTGATCTCATCTGTTTTCTGTACAGTACATTTTGAGTCACTTTTACGTCGTTGTTTATCTGGGTGGTGTTCTTATGTAACACATGTTAACCTCTCCCATGTATTAGATTGCGATTTGTGTACTTTGTTAGAATACTATGTGTGGAAGGCTTGTCATGTGACCTCTGTAACGACACCTTTTGTGTTTCCCAGCATTTATTTTATGGCTATGTTTGCACAACAGTGGTGTGGCTTCGTGCTTGACTCATCATCACTTCATCATTCCAGTCAAAGCTCTTTGTATATCCTGTTGGCCTGAGAAATATGCAAAACCCGCCAGTTGCATGAGTTTGTATGTTTACATAGGAATTTGATTACCTTGGTTGCCATAACCGGTTATGTAACTTCCGGTTTTTCGACAAATGAGTCTCCAGTACACGGTTAATGCTAAAATGTTAAAACGTTACAATAGGGAGTTACATTGAATGATGTATTCAATCTTTATTCAGTAAAAACGAAGTTAAGGTTAGTTATAACGTTTCCATGATGTGTTCAAATGTAAAATGAATTACTTTGAGGAAAAACTTCTGGGGATTTGATTTTAAAAGGATATTAGAGAGAGAATCATGACCTTCATAAGATCAGCTTTGAGCAGCTTATCATTGAAAAGCAAGCAAATCATTTAATAGTAATACAATCATTTAATTCGTATTGGATTTAGTTGTCTGGAATAATTGAATTTCACAAAATGTGGCATCGACTGCAGCATGTTTGGTATCATGAGGTCCCTTTTCTTTCTACATGAAGCTAAATCCAACCCATGAAACCCTGATAAACACTAACAGTTATTGTGATATCAAATCTCATATTGTGACGTGTTACCTGTGAACTTCTCTGATCAGTATGGGCTTCACTAAGGATTCATGAAGTTCTGTGTGTTTCTCAGCCACGTGTTCTTTAGTTTTACTGAATATTAGTTTGTGATTAGACACATTACTTTGTATTAATCAATTCAAATCAAGTTTTATTTATATAGCACATTTATAAACGATTTTTGGTCGAGCCAAAGTGCTGTACATATAATAAAACAGAGACTTTACAGCTAATACAACAGCACAGATTGTTCAGAATATCAGTATGAGAAAAACGACACCCTCTGTCTTTAGACCCTCACATCGTACAAGGAAAAACTTCCGGAGAAAACCCACAGTTTAAAGGGGAACATGGGAGAAACCTCAGGGAGAGCAACAGAGGAGGGATCCCTCTCCCAGGACGGACAGACGTGCAATAGATGCCGTGTGGAAATCGAAGAGATAATACATTTTACAGCGTATAGACCGAATGTTAGGAAATGCATGTGTCTGTAATAAGAAGATGAATCCACGAGGATGTCAACTTCCTTAAAGTGGACCTATCATGCTATATTTGAATATTATAGTGTAGGACCATACCTATATAAGGCATATTTATACTTTTTATTTTTCAAAATATCAAACAGATACATTTTAGCCATTCCTCATTTCGCTCAATTGAACACTGTCTTTGCATCATGGGCTGATTCTGTGAGAACAGCACCATCTACAGGCCTGGCATATGTACTACAGCGTCTCCAGCGCTTTCCAACGGCAATGTCCGTGGCTGTCTCCTCCTGATTGGTGGAGTTGGCCCAATAGCCGTAGCGCCACTTCTGTGACGTCATAGAAGTGTTCAAATCTGGATCAGTCTGTATCAGATCCGTTGCAGCCCCTTTTTAAGAGATTTGGGTATGGAGGAAAATAGAGAGGGTTGTGTTTGCTGACACTTGGTGAGTTCCCTGGAACACCGGGGACACATATTCATGTAGAAAAGACGTACAAAAGTGCATTTCGTTGCATGATAGGTCCCCTTTAAGTTAAGTTATTAAAGGTGGGGTAGGTCATTTTGGAGAAACCAGCTCGAGATCGCTAGAATTTGAAAATACACAGCCGGAACAAATCTGCCACATCCTCACAGAGCCCCTCCTCCAACACAAACGAACGCACACATGACCAATGAGGGCACGAGATAAGTTTGTGCACAGATGGAAGGCTGACAGGCAGGGTAGGCCCATCCAGTTACTTTAAGCGCGGCCGGCGTCAGATGGATGGTCGTGCTTTTTACAGGCGGTCACAGCTTCCCAGGATGGACAATCTTTTCATGGATTTTTAGTCAAACACTTCAGATAGTTCATTGCTATCTGGATGTTAAGAGGCATTTCCATGGAATATAACAAAAGGGGTCTATCTCGAGCCGGTTTCTCAAACTTACCTACCCCACCTTTAAGTGTCTCTAAGTGGAAATCCTGGTATAAGCTGCGGGCTTGAATCATCGACC